ATAACTACTGGGAAACAAAGCTTCTAAACTATATATACAGTTATTGCGTTTTACAGTAACTGTGATAAGTTATAACTCGGACAATACAAAGATTTTATGTTTTACCCCACCGACTATAATAGACAGTGGTAATAAAAAGCAACCGTAAACTCTCGATAAAACAATGCTGCTCTGTTTTTGTACTGAATAAGTAATACAGAAGTACGACATACATATAGTAGGAAGCTACTCAACTGATTGTCTCGTCACTGATGACAAATTACTGTTAAATCACTACATAGTATAAAACAAAGTCGTTTTCTCTGTCCCTTTGTATGCTTAAATCTTTGAAACTACGCAACGGATTTTGATGCGGTTTTTTTAATAGATAGAGTGATTCGAGAGGAACGTTATATTTAAAAATAAAGATTTAAACTAAAACTATAGAATTATTTGTTGCTATCGTCAGTTATTTAGAGGTATTGTAGTAAAGCTAAAGATAAAAATATTTATTTGCGTAAAAACCTACGGTATACAAAGATATTACAGTTACAATAGAGGTATAATAGATCATCATGTTTTGGTTAATAAATAAAGCATGCAAATTTTAACTTATTAATATAACTTATTTTAACTAACTTACACTCGTAGTCGTAAAGTTTCTTTGTTTTTCAATTAATAAAATGTAACTAAATTGTCTTTTTGTTTTTTTTTTTTGAGGAGGAAAAGTCTTCTAATGTCTTTACCCGCCTTGGTTAAAGACATTAAATGATTTTTACCTTAACTCCTTGGTTAAGAGTGAGTGTAAGGCTCAAATTATGTAAAAACCATCTCGTTCCAACTCCTAATCCGAGCTAATCCTGGTCGAGAGCCTAAAATTGTGGAACTATAGGTGAGTCTTTTATGACAGATGTGAACAAAAGTGAACATGAAAAACACATATTAATTGTAATTATTTACTTTTTTGACTACTTGCCTTCTGCTCTTTCCCCTATTCAATGATAAATCCGAGCCACTTTTAGTAGCAGTCTAACGCTTCTGTGATGCAACTACAGAACGCATTATGGAAGGACGATTAAAACCCGAATGTGTAGAAATGAAAACCGCTTTATGTGTACATTTTCACTTTAGTTAGTCACTTGTCACTGTTTTAAGGATTAAACTAAAAATATCTGTTTTCTTGAATAAATATTCGTAGGCTGCTCGATGTCGCCGCAACCGCGCACGCTGCTCATGAGGAACAGTCCCTCTGTGTCTTGAAAGTAGTAGAGCTTATCTTAGGATATTTATATCACACAATGGTTATTATAAAAATTGTAAATTCGCTCGGTCCGATCGGGCCGGTTATTTTAAATACTTAAGTAGTACCTACCTGTTTTTTTTATAACATAGCATATAACATAACATCACGCCTTTTATCCCCGAAGGGGTAGGCAGAGGTGAACATTACGGCACTTAATGCCACTGTACAATGTAACACCCACTTTTCACTATGCATGTTATGAGTCCCATGTAATAGGGGGTGAGCGTACTGCCATATACCGGGCACATTTCCAGACTCCGTGCTGCTACTGAGATTTTTAAAAACCCAGTAATACTTTGTCCGACCCGGGAATCGAACCCGAGACCCCTTACCCGGCAATCGCACTTGCGACCTCTCGGCCAACGAGGCAGTCTTTTTTTTGTTGTCGGGAGGAAACATTCAAAAGGCGCCTACCTTTTTTGGGAAGAAAGACTAGGTTATGTCAGTGTCGACTAAGAAGAGTGTGGGATTCCTACCTCACTAAAACCACCACGGTGGCCACCTTCACCACCTCTGAAGAGACCTGCTCCGAAAAATTCTACACCTACACAACCTAGTAATATGAAATCTGTAAATGTGGCAATAAGCTTGTACCCCATTAGTATTTTTGTTTAACCGTTCGGAAAATAAACATAATAATCAAATGAAATCAAAATAAAAAAGTTTTGTTCAATAATTACAAGGCATTCGATAAAGTTATTGGAGATCACGTTCTAAGTAATGGATTGCCTGTGCTAGGAGACTCCGCACTTCCACGCAAGATTATCAATAAAACAAGAAGAAAATAAATCAAGTTAAACTTACAATTCTAATCGCCGAAGCAATGATTGAGCATAATTATTTCAAATGAAAATCAGTTATTGTGAAAATACCTGATCACACAATGTATGTATAGTATATGAATCATGTATAGTGAGTGAGCGAGTAGGTGGGTGAAAGAGCTGATGCAAGTGTGAATGACTTATTTCTATTGATTTTATTATTTCATTGTTATTGACATTATTAGTGTATCTTGACATTTACTTATAGATTTATTGGAAAATTAATTAATATTTGTACACCGGTCACGGTTAAGCATGTTGATACCAACAATACTGTACATCTATAGTAAACATTCATTTTTGCATGTATTATTGTAACCTACACATGTTTTGGCAAATAAAACTATCTTTATCTTTATCTTTATCTTATCTTTAATGTAAGCTTGTGAGGTAGGTACTGTGTGCATTGAAAACATGTTTAAGTACATAAGTATAAATGATGTTTTATTTCCTCATATCCAATTACGTTCACTTTTCACACAGCTTCTGTGTACGGAAATCGGAAATCCCAATAATATTTGCCTGGAAATTCGATTGAATAAATTATTATATTTTTATTTGCTTCACATACACGATAGTTTATTGAACGCTTTCTAAGAAAAAGTAATTAAAGCGTTTTTTATGATTTCAATAGAAATAGGTATATGTATTCCTTATTTTATAAAAACATGAGGTACGTTTTTATATCACTTATGTGGACGTTGACGTAGTATTGTCGTAGCATCCGTCTCAATATAATTGTAGGTATACAATAGGTAATGCATCAGATAATGTATCAATAAGAATGTTAAAAAACATTTTTAGAGTTAGATGGATTTTCTATTTCATTCTTTTCCATGCGAAACTACACATTGGAACGAGTGCCTAGCGTCACTGACAGATAGACGGAGGAACATTTTTTACAATATATATCTATATGGCTGTCTGTGTGTTTTGTCTGGAATTACTGGACCGATTCGAGCGGGAATTTTACTGGGGTTAACTGATGTACTAATAGTAAAATAGGCTATTTTTATTTTGGAAAAACAAAATGTACGCAGACGAAATAGCGGGCAACAGCTACTGTCATAAATTAAAAATATTTCGTTTGTATAAATCAAAGTCCTGTCTATAACACAGCAGATAATCGCTTACCATTGTTAACACTGTCATTGTCATTATATTATAAACGTTCTTATGTCAAAAAATACTAATCCAATCAATTCAAAATAGATATATAACATAACATTATGCCTTTTATCCCAAAGGGTTAGGGCAGAAGAGCATATGGAACCAAAGAACGGTTAGCTTTTCCGCATTGAGGGGCGGTACCGCCCTCCGTAAGTCACTGCAGGGTGCCACCTGAAAATCAGCGTTGGGCAGGAATGCTCAACTATATGCTGAGGTGGAGGCCCTTTTGGCATGAGCACACGCACTATAATATTTCTATTATATTACTTATAATATGTTTTTTTTTGTATATTTAATTTCTCTTATTATCAAAAACATATTGTATTGTTTCGTATTGTATGTAGGTACATTATTTTGTTATATTTTGATGATTTTTGTTCTTTTCTTTATCTACTCTTTTAAGTTTGTTATTAATATTCTGTACCTATTTATGTAAGTATCTGTATTTTTATTTTTCATAATGTTTGTTTTATGTGCCAATTGCCAAATAAATGTTCTTTCATTCAGTTTTTAATAGCTGCTGTTAAGGTATAAGGTCCAAGTAAACACCAGCTAAGTACTCAGTAATGAGTAGGTCAGCAAATGCGAGTTTTGCATGATTAATACTTATTAATGTGGACTGCGGAAGTAATTAATTAAACATGGACATGCAAGGAAAAGATTAACTTGATCCAAGCTATGGTTTGGATCAGGCTGTTGATGTTAAGTATGGTTTGGGTACCTTTGGAAAAAATTATCTATTTTAATTGCCTCGTTGGCCGAGTGGTCGCAAGTGCGACTGCTCGGATTCGATTTCCGGGTCGGACAAATGTATTATTGGGATTTTAAAAAAAATCTCAGGTGTTGCACGGAGTTTTGAATTGTTACCGGTATGGCAATTCACCCCATATTAAATAACATAACATCACGCCATTTATCCCCGAAGGGGTAGGCAGAGGTGCACACAGAAGTAACACCCACTTTTCACTATTTATGTTATGATTCCCATTTAATAGCGGGTGAGCCTATCGCCATATACCGGGCACAATTCCAGACCCCGTGCTACTACTGAGTTTTTTTTTAAAACCAGTAATACTTTGTCCGACCCGAGAATCGACCCCGACACCCCTTGCCCGGCAGTCACAATTGCGACCACATGTCTCAAAGACACTCAAATTTTATATATCTGTACTAGACGTGGGTCGTTGTCGGTTTTTTCGACGACGAGACGCAACCGTTTTTTCAAGAACGAAAACTAGTCCTCGAAACGGTTCTCGTTCGCAACTGTTTGATGGTTTGAGATGGAAGGCAGACGATGACGACGCGGCGACGCGCGACGTTCGAACGAACGTAACGAATCTAATTAATGGGTTCTTAATCGAAATCTCATAGACGTCAACGTTCGTTCGTCTCGGTGACGGTTGTAGACTTGCGGTTACTATAGTGTTGCAATTATGCAAAGTATAATTTGCTTCAAACATAGTTCTTTTCTTTCATCTAATTGCTTTTTTTTATTAAATAAATGAACTTTCCTTCATACTTTCCCAGGCTTAGGACTGGCTGGTATTAGTTTCTGTACCAGGCGTATTTAAAAGTTCATTTGATTGTATGTACATAATTTGACTTATTTATACACACATATTTACATAACATATTTACATCGTTTTTTTTTGTTTTTTTTTTTAATTGTTGTTTATTTTTTTTAATTGTTGTTTTGTTTTTTTTTTTTCGAGTTATTATTATATTATTTACATTTTAAATCTTTCTTCCGGCATATTTACATTAAGGAACATAAGTTTTTCTACTTTTTTTGTTGTAAGTCTCGTCCGGCGTTGGTTTATAATTAAACCTGATTTAGAAAACATCCGTTCACATGGAACGGACGTTGCTACAATGTTGCACTGGCGGATGTACAATTTTGCTAAATTTGGATAGACAGCACGATGGTTTTTCCACCACTCCAACGGACAGTTCCAGCCACCAGCAGAATTTTTTCGCGGCAATCTATCATCAGACAAATACATGTCAATTTCTTTGATAGCTCGAGACAGTGGAGTTCCCTGAGTCATAGGTTGCCCAAGCAATTTATCAAAAATGGTCCATGGGCTTAAGTCGTCATCGGACTGCGGCTGCGACTCTTGGTTCTGTTCTGTAGGTAGCTCTACATTCTCGTCCCTGCTTATTATGTCTGCAATGAGCTTCTTGACATATTCTTTTGTTTGTATGGCTTCATTTTGCTCTGCAAAAGCCTGCATCTTGAATCTCGGGTCCATAAATGTACATAGAGACAATGTTCTGCTTTTTTCTACATATTTTAATCGATCCGTAATACCGGCATTCAATAACAAAGCAATATCACTGACGGTTTCTGATTGTGTTTTATTGATTGCGATATTTAATGCCTCTTTGAGACATCTAGTCATCACGATTACAGAACTCGCAGTTAAATATTTTTCTCCACTCATGGATTTTGTGAGCTCTTCGAATGGACGCAACACAACGATTAGTTCTTCGAACATACTCCAGTCTTCTGCTGTTAATTGTGGCAAATCCCGATCGATCAGAGCCATTGTAGAACGGACTGCTTCTTTTAACTCCACGAATCTACTCAACATGTAAAAAGTCGAATTCCACCTCGTGTCCACGTCTTGAATCAGATGCTTAGGTTGAATGTTTTGTTGCAATTGATATTTGGCCAGGCGCTCTGCCGACACAGTACTTTTTTTATAATGAGTCACGATTCGTCTCACCTTATCTATTTTATCTTTGCAGAATTTTAATCCATCTTGTACTATTAAATTTAAGGTGTGCGCAAAACATCCAAAATGTTTTAACCCTAAAATTTCTTTTACGGCTTTCACAACGTTAGCACCATTGTCAGAAACAACAAAGTTTACTTTGCCATTTATACCCCACCGATCCACAATATCCTTTATTTCGGATGCTATATTTTGTGACGTGTGATTGCCAGAAAAATAACAACACCCCAATAGCACTGTTTTGAATTCAAAAACATCGTTGAGATAGTGGCCGGTAACCGCGATATAACTCTCTGTGCTTCGAGAAGTCCACAAGTCCGTAGATAAACAAATTGACTGAACCTCACTCGTTACTTGAGACTTTATTTCATTTTCCACTCTATGGTAAGTTTCATCAAGCAGGGAATTTGAAAGAGTTTTCCTTGTAGGTAATTTATAACCTGGTATCCATCGGCAAAACTTAATAAAAGATCGTTCTTCGACAATGGAAAATGGATGGAAACTATCTATACATAAATCTAATAAGTCTTGGTCAATTTTTTTTTTCTGCTCTGTGCTAATTTTTTTATTTATGTAGGCATCCATTTTTTGGCTCTTTTTTGTTGGCGGAGGAACTATAATTTGATCACTTTGAGCTGCAGTTCTGGAAGTCGAAGGTTGTGAAAAATAACTTGTAACATCCTCATTACGACGACTTTGAATTTCAGGGTTTTCTTCCTCAGTTAGTGAGGTGTATGTTCCAATGTGCTTTCGTTTCAGATGGTTTCGTAAATTTGCTGTGGTTGATTTATAGCTTAAACTATCATGACATAAATGACACTGAGCCTTTTTATTAACATCGTCCTTGTCATAATACGCCCACAATGCACTGGCATTTTTACGCAACGCCGACATTGTTAAAAAATAATTAAGTTCAGTTAATAATTTACTCAAATGAATTACCTACTCTACCTAGTTTAATCACTCACTTATTTACAAAACAATCAACAGTATCTACACTTATAAATTACAATTAGTTAAAACCTTTTTGAAAATGAATTTTCTGATGTGAACTTCACGCGCGCGCATTCAAACTAAAAAATGTAAACAAACAATATAGGTACATATCGCGCGGCCGCGGTCATGAATGTCGAGCGAGTCGCGACGAGACGCATCGAACGAAGAACGAACAGCGCCATCCATCGTCTCGTTCCGTACTATGATTTTATTGCTAAGTGACTTTGAATTCTATGTCTATCATTATACGATACGCAGCAATGACCACCGCGTTGTGAACGAGACAAAACATCGAAATATATTGTAGTGCATATGATAATCGACCGTAATGCACAAGTAATAGTAGTTAATTTATTTTGCTTTATCAAAGATAGAAACGAACGGAACGAGCTACGAATAGTTTCATTGTATTCTAGCTTGTATTTACATTGCATGTAAGTACAAATTCGCGTCAAACATTTCGAGGACTGGTTGTGCGACGAGGACTGCTTTGAAACAAAATGTAAAACGGTTCCATCGTCGCGGAACACAAAGCTGTCTTTTAAAACGGTTCGTCTTTGGAACGACCACCTCTAATCTGTACAGATTAGGTAACTATCTAAATAACCATTTTAGTGAAAAATCCACAGCGAGAATAAAGTCAAAGTCAAAGTCAAAGTCAAAGCATTTATTTCAATTAAACCATAGTTTGGTACTTTTGAAATGTCAACAAATACAAAATAAATAATAGTCTGTCAGTCAGTCCGTCAGTGAAGCTAGGTGAAGCTAGGTGCTCATTCCAAAACGTAGATTCGAATGGAGAAGAACGAGCAAGAAACTCCATTCGTTACTCTTTTAAAAAAGTATGTTCTACAATGTCTCTGATACATATTTCAATACTGTACGCATATGTAAGAACAATGCAAAGACACGCTTGACGCATTATACTAATAACTTACTAAAATAAAAATAAAAATAATAAAGATCTTAAGTCCAACATGGTGCTCACATATGCATACTGACAATCCATAGAAATAGTGCTTCTATACAAGAAAAAGGAAACTCTTTGTTTCAATAAAGAAAGAAATGCTCGATGCCATAAGGAAACTAGATTGTCTACATTAGAAT